CACAAACACTCGGCCGCTAATGTCAATGAACGGTCGGTCGCAGACAAGAATGGCTGGCTTCTTATAATCAAATCATGCATCAAGCGTATAGGCCTTGCAAGTTCAACGTAAACAGCAACCATTTTGAACGGGTGAAGCGCACAAGAGAGGTACACAAATCTGTAGACACTTCCTCTCAACCGGTGTAAAATGGCTCAGGTGCACCGTTCGCCAATCCACATACATCGACATTTCATATCTCACATTCAATCTTCTTCGTCTTCCTTTTATTTTTCCTGTAAAACCACAAAACTTTTAATTTACGGCTGGAGAATAAATGGGGAACAGCATAAAAATAGAAGCAAAAGTATCAATTAGAGAAGCAGTTACGGCATGGCATACAACACATTTCGTAAAAAATTTACGATGATAATAAATTGAGCATTAGAGTCATAGCTGTGAAATGTAAAATTAAAATTATATTTCTAATTGTTTCTGTAATGTGTCGTGCACACGCGGTTTTCGTCTGCCATTCGCCAGGGAATTGTCATTAGTGAATCTATCGATTTTTCATAACAACAAGAATAACTTATTTTCATCACTTCAAATAGAACCGAGAAAAAAAAATACCACCAACAAACTATAACGCACTGGATTTCATATCCCATTTTCGTTTCAATTAGTTTTTTTTAATAATAATGGTGTTGTTGAGTTGTTGTAGGTGTCGGTGTTTTTTTCTCGCTCTCTCTGTCGCCTGATTGTTGTTTCGATATCATTTTATTAAAAGCGGCGCCAATAAGCTTGCACATACATACAACCAATTAAATGTGCATGGCACACTAACCATTGTGTTTGTGCTGTGAAAATTCGTAACGTAGATGGCATAGTGGCTGGTGCAACGGCATTGCATCGATACGACAACTGAACAAGCCAACGATAAATTTGAAATTCTACTCTAGTTATTTTTTTTTGTTCCTGCTCCGTTGTATTCAGTTTGTACACGACGTAGATGCGATATTTCGATCCGGTTCGAGTACGTGGCACTGAAATGATTGTACAATAATTAAAGCGAAAGCACCTAGCATGGGACGCGTAATAAGTGTGGGAAATTTAAAGGCCGGTATGTGATCACACACTCGCACACACAAACTACATGTTAAATGGAATTGCGAGCAAATTGGAAAAACCGAATGGAAAATAATACGCAAGAAATAACGTGCTCTCATAATAATCAACAGATCTCGTATGTATGTTATATCTGGTTTCACTTACGAAGTGTGCGTGATCAACGCCAATCAACTGCGAAGCAATTTTTATGTCACATGACATTTTTATTTTATTATACACTCTTACACACATCTCATTTCGTTTTTCGAATGAAAACTTTTTTTGAAAGGCGGCAGCAGCAGCAGCAGCAGCAGCAGCAAGCCAATGAATTTTTGCGTGTCACCATTTTCCACAGCATACGCGGGGCAAGTGTGAATTGCGTGTATATAAAATCTACACCATACTCAACCACAATTTTCCATTCAAATTAAATTTTTCTAAATGGAATCGTATATCGCATTGACTTGATCATCGTGTGCATTTTTTCTATTCACATCGCAAAAAAAACACATGCGTGTTTTTTCTCCTCTTTTTTTCATATGATTCCAAATTGTCTAGCGAGTGTTTTTTCTCTGCGTTCCGACAAATATTTCTATGAATTATTTAAAATTGCATATTCATCATGTGGTCAGTGGCATTTTTTTCAGGAGAAAAATATCCATTTGCATCTGAAATGACGTTGGACGAGCGATAAAAAAGAACCAACGAGTTATTTCCCTTTTGATTATTATGGTACAGCGAGAAAAAAAACCACCACTGAATGCTCAAATCTGACGCGATTTTACTAATTCATCGATAAAAAAAATTCAAAATCACATCACAGCGCTTTGCTCGGCACACATTTTTCCGAGTAAATATTTATACATTTGAATTGTCAATTTTGCGATTTTTTTTCTTGTTCTGCTTTCTCTTTCACTCCCTTTCGTCAAGTTAATCGAGATGATGGTGTGACGTTGACTGTTGATTTTGTATATGAAAAAAAAAATTGGCATTGCTTTGAGGCAAGCCAATCATAATAATTCGGATCATGGCATTTCATTTTCGAAATGGCAAAGTTTTTCTTCCCCGCTCATGTTTTATTCTCGTGCATTCGGCTCCGGATTTGTTTGTGTGTGTGTGTGTGTGTGTGTGTGTGTGTGTGTGGGATTGCGATTGCGATTGCGATTGCAATGGTCATCAGTTTGTCTATCTATGATTTTAAATTCAAACCGCTGAACAACAATATTGTCGAATGCATAAACATTTGTAAGCAAAAAACTGAATACAAATAAATTTCGTCAGGCAAATTGACTATTCAGCACATGCAAAATGCAAATATCCGAGAAAATTACCGATCACGTTTACGCGAGTAAATGGATTGCATTGTTGGTGTGCTCGAATAATGGTGCGCGTACCGTATACACACACACAAACACACATTGCTTGCGAACCACCATTTCCCATCGACGCCATAAATCTCATTGCAAAATCTTATAATAAATTCATCAATTTTAACAATATCGGACGCATTCCGACAACAAAAACCTTCTCGGTCAATATCGATGGCGTCAACATTTGCACGCGCAATTCCAAACCAATCCAACAGTGAACACGCCGTCGTTGCCGCCGCCACCACCACCGCTGCCGCCAAACAAGCAAGCGAGCGAGCGGGCAAAAAAAATTGAAGTGTATATCACGGCGAACTAGATAAAATCTGATGCCATTTTAGATTCTCTGTTGTTGGTGTTGCTGTTTTTTTGTTGGTTGGCTTGTGTCGCGCCGACAGAAAATGAACAAAGCCACACAACGAAATGCATGAGTCGCGACCCGAAACTGTGTAAAAGCTGAAACTAATTTCATTTTCCGCAACAAATTCACTTGTTGTTTGAATAAATTTTTCATGCTCGGTGTGCGGGCAAAAAGCATCAGATCGGGTTTATGCAACGCGCCAACAAACCAATCCACAAGCCAAATTGCATACATAAAAAAATAGAACTGTGTACACTGTGTGAGTCGGTGTGAGTATTCAGTATAGTTTAAGTTGGCGAACGAAATGTATGAAAGCAATAAATAACTGCAAATTGACTGATTTTCGATTATCTCTCGCTAAGTTTTGCTCTTTCTATCTCTTTTTCTATCTCTCTAGCACGCTAAACTGACACTGACCGTTTCGCTTTTTGTTAGTGGGGATGACGTTATTTCGGGAGGAAAATGCCAAAACGGAGAGAAATTACCCTGTTCTCTCTGGAATTGAACTCAGGAATGAAATCCCGACGAGAGAGGAGAAAAATTGTAGTTTTGATAATTGAATCGAGTCGATATCTTGGGCCGGCAACACATCGAGTGCAGCCAAACATCAGACAAAGGCTGTCAAACTTTATGCGAACCATTTCACGAGCGAAAAGATTAATTAGACTTGCTTAGATTTTTGATCGGCCATTTTTTCTCTCTTCCGGGCTGTGCCATCAAGTTTTTGCCATTTCATTTGCTGATTGCATCGACTGAATGTTTTCGAACAATTTTAGAAAATTTTCGCATCATTTGGTGGCACCCTTTTGTTTGTCTCCCCGATGAATTTATGAGTATTACGCAAGTCAAGATCAAATTTGCTATATTTTGTCGAATGGTTTTGCAACTGGAGCACGCATTCGCTGCTACCGCCGCCATCGTCATCGTCGACCGATTCAAAATGCTCAATGATCCGAAAAAGGCGATTTCATGACAAGTGCAGCACAGAACAGTGTTATATTTTGTTATTGACAAAAATTTAATTCCAATCGGCAATGAGCCATTCCAACTAAATTGGAAACATCTCACTCATACAGTTCGGTGACATGCAAAACTATTCACCATGTTCACTTTGATTCGATCTCCAGATCCTGAACCAAATAGAAATAAAAATTGAGCACATGAATAAATGGCATAGCTGGCAGCAAGTGCGAGATGAAAAAAACGGGGGGCAAACTAAATTCGAAAACGAGGCGAAGCAACAACAAAAAATTAATAAAATGTAACTCATTGAATTTCACTCCAAAATACTCTATTCTCTCTGTGTCAGTGTGAGCGGGAGTTTGATAATGTAATACGAACGTTACGTACTCTCGTATTCGTTTATTTACCGTTACTCAGTGGCACTCGTACTTATACTCTTGAATTCGTTGCTTCAAATGATACGTACTCAAACGGACAATATGTTTCGTTCATTCGATTCGATTCTCTTTTTTTGCTGTTGGCATTGATTTTTTTCTCTCTACCGACTTGTTCAATGTACAATACCCCAGTTTTCCATTAAATGACTAAGCCACTCTGACTGCTGTCACTCTTTTTGATGTTGATTTTTTCGGCGTGTTGTTGTCGTTGTTGCTGCAGCAGCAGAATCTGTCTCTTTCGTGTATAAACGCGAGAGAGAGAGAAGGAAGGGGGGGGGAGAGTGTATGTATTTGTATGTTTTGCCTACGGCATTCGCAATGGAAGATTGCATGACAGGGACATTTCGCCAGAGGCAATCCATGACACAAACACAATATCTATTTTGATATTTAAACACTTTGTTGCTTGTGAGTGTGTATGTGTGTCCTATCTAAAAAAATTTGTTGTGAATGCGGCGTTGTTCGTTTATCAATGTATTTTTTTGATTCAGTTTGCAACTCTCTCGAAGGGAAAATCTTGAATAAATGTGATGCATCATGCTCACATTATGTGCTCACCGACGACAGAAAAAAACGCACACACACAGAGAGAGAGCGAGAGAGAGATAACAGTATTTATTCGTACGAACGCATGTACATCAAACAAACGAGCAAAATGACAAAAAAAATGAGAACAAGAAGTTATTTCGCAAATTTTCGTCATGTAACACGAAATATCCAAAGAATGCTTTGATCAGATGATGTGGTTGCTTCTCTTTTTGAACCGGTCATTAGTTTAGTGTTTACATTTTGCTGCGTACCACTCAATCACCACCTCATTTTATTATGTTTTTGCTACCGAATTCGAATAGAAGAAAATGAATAACATTAAAATGTCGTTGTCCAACCGAAAAGGTTCATGAATATGAATCGAATGTATTCAACCGAATGATTGTATATGAATGTGTGCTGTGCCAATACGTAAATGTATTTTTTTTTCGGATCGTTTGCTTTGCATTTCATTCGCATGAGGCGCTGATGCGCGGTTGCCTTTGACACTTGACAGCTAAACATTCCGAAGCAAACGCTTTACAGTCGTTTATTTACATTCGAATCAAGTTGTCAGTGATTTCAGTTGTTCATCCGATAGAAAGCGATCATTTTGTGTGTGCAAAAGCAGTGAGAGAGGAGAAAAAATGCTGGCAAAACGGAAGAAAAATATGTTTATGTCATTTCGCGGTGATCCGAAAGACATTCAATGTGTTGCTGAAGAGATTGAATTGAATGTGCGCCGTGGATTAGCCCGTTTGAAGAGTGACAATCAAAGAGAAGACAGCACAACCCAAATCGCAAGGCAATTTTGTGATGTGGCCATTGAAGAAATGACATCGATTGATATTTCCAAAGATTTTCGCGCCCATTATCGTACGCACGAATGGCGAATGCGCAACGTCATCTACACGAAAAAAGTGTGGAAAGCCATTTGTGGCAATGCTCATCTATTCAAAGACAAGGTTTGAACTATATTTTGTTTGTCCCTTTTTGCCGATTGAAAACGTTCATTTTTTGCGTTCATTCTGTTGGTCTTTGTGTGTAAACTGTTTAAGAATATTCCATTGAGTGAATGAATTTTGATTTTAGATGAGTAAATATTTTCGTTTTCATTTCCACAGATTGTGCTTGATGTGAGCTGCGACATGGGAATTCTGTCGATGTTCAGTGCGATTGCCGGTGCAAAGCATGTCTATGCGATTGATACATCGAATATTGTTCAATTGACACGGCGTGTTATTGCCGATAACAATTTGTCACACAAAATAACGGTGATCAAAGGACGAGTTGCTGGCATCACGTTGCCCGTTGCCAAGGTTGATATCATTGTATCAACATTTTTCGGGTGAGAATATTGAATAACCATGAACTCCATGATTATTTCCGAAAAATTTACATGAAGATTTATTTTGTTTCGTTTAATAAATGCAACCACAGGCAGTCGTTGTTTTGCGAGAATCGGCTAGACGAATTGATTGATGCGAGAAATAAGTGGTTGGAGCCAAATGGGTTGATGTTTCCCGATCAATGTAACTATTACATTGCGGCTATAAACAACAGTATGCTGAACGATCGAAGTAATTTCTGGCAACATGTTTATAAATTTGATATGCGACCAATGATTCGAGCCGTTAATTCCGAACCGTATCTACAGTATGTGCAAATTGAACAGGTTTGTGTTGATGACGATGCATAGTGTTGAGTTACATTTGGATATGATTGTGTTGGTATTTGTAAATGTTTCAGGTGGTGACAAATGCGTGCCCAATCAAGCACATAAATATGTATACGGTTGAAAAGCGCGACTACAAACAGTTCGATGTGCCATTCTGCTTGGAGTGTGGTTTCAATGCAAACATTGGCGGGTTTTTCACATATTTTGACGTTCAGTTCACCGAAGGTCTTCATCCAATCACATTCACCATACAACCGGGCTGGAAAACCACAAATTGGTGCCATTTGGTATTCTACCTCTCTATAAATGATTTTATCATTGACAAAGACGAAACATTCTACGGTGGGTTTCGTTTCAATGCGCTGTCAGATGATTATCGCAAAATCGATTGGAACATCGAAATTATGCACCAGGGCAATCACTGCACCTTCCGAGAGGATTGGCATTTTAAGACCAGATAAACAGACTACGCTGACACTATCCACCCACATCTCTTCTACATCCAACTCTTCTACATTTCCATTGTAAATAATTAAATTTTCCGAAATTATTGATTAAAATAGCAATTTTAAATCGTTAAGATTAATGTGTACGTTTTAAGCAAATGAAACACCGTCTGTCAAACGGTGATATAGATGCATATTTGTGTACGTGAGCAAATGCAAAACGAAAAAAAAACAACAACTCAGACCACTCAACAAAACCAAAATAAAGACCATCGCATAATTAAATGTCGTACCATTTTATCATCGTTTCGTGTGTGTTTTTTTTATGGAAGACCTGCTGAAAGATTTTCATTTTAACTGTCGTTTTTGTTATCTTTACGAGGCAATTGGTATAATTTTGTGGGTAAAATCGCCTGAGATGTGATGTCATTCAACGTACTTAATTGGAATTCAATGTGCAATACAATGGAAATTTCAATGTCGTCTCTGGTTATTTTCGGTGTTTCACCTTCGACGCTGAATAATCGCACAGTAAATTTTGGAACCTGGTTTTCCATTAGTGCAACCGAGATGCTATGCGGTGCTTTTCCGTTGCTGTCTGTGTATGCGTTGCCCACTTGTTTTTATCGGTTCGTCTTTCGCAGTTGCGAGTGTAAAATAAATTACCAAAGTGTCGGTCCCCGGCTACTGAAATCCATTAAACATGCTATTTTTGCAAACCGACACCATTTTTCAAACTAAACGGCTTATTATGTGATGTTGTGTGTGTGTCTTTTGGCGTGCGAACACGTTGCAAAGTAATATAGCACCGGCGTTGCATTTATTATTATTATCATCAAAGCTGGTGGGCTGATGCGAACGCGCGCCAAGCGACCGATCCTTTTTCACACCGACTGATTATTATTATTTTTCGAGGAAAACGCGCGCGAGCATCATAAATTCTTTTTCACAGTCATTTTGTTGTCATTATAATGTGAGTCACATTGCTAGAATGTGTTTACTTTACATTATCCTTCACTCGCAAATGTATTATTTAGGTGCGTGGAATATATACAACATTTTGCGTGCGCCCTTTGGGAAAGTAATTAAAAAAAGTTTTTTTTTCCATTTCGCGTGAAAAATTACATTTTTTGCAGGCATCTTCCCCCGACACAAACATACACACAAACAAAAAAAGAAGATGACACCGACGACGACGACGTAAAATGTGGAACTAATTTTTTGGCCAGCTGACCAAAGGTGCAATACTGTGAAAAACACACATCGTAAAATATACCACTTTCAGGCACAATTTTTTTTTTATTATTTCACGTGCCATTGAAGTTTATTTTTCCGTCCCAAAGTGATAATATGACAGTGTTGTAGATGATTCCAACATTTTTCATAAATTTAAATTAACGAGACGAGCGGTTCGGTTTGTATTCTTGTATATCTGCTACCCTGATTCATGTGGGCTGCGAAAATGAAACACCTGAATTCTTTACTTCACTTTATTTCGATAACAATTACTATCATTTATTCATGCTTTCGTTTTAATGATATGAACAAAGTTTGAAGGAACTTTGGAATTGTGCAATAAATCATGGCTAATCGACAATGACCTTCGGGTCAAATCATACACATTTTTCGAGAATCTCTTTTCTCTCTCTCTTGCTTTCTTTTTTTCATTCGCTCTCTCTCTCTCTCTCTCGCATTCTATCTATTCCTCAAAATAAATGGATTTCCTATTGATAGATATTCTCTTGAAAAATATAATAAGATTATACTACATGTATACCACCCACTTTCATATAATAAGATTAAGCTATTTCGAAGCACTAACCAAAATTGTAGTTCCGGTTCGTAAGAAATTTCATGGAAATTACAATCTGCTCAAAATAACTTTCTAACTATTCAATAGACAGAGCATTTTTCAAGATAGTTTATCAAGAATATAAGATTGATATTGTGTATGAGCAAAAATCTCAGTTTAAAATGTAAAATGTTTGGGTGTAGTACTTGGTTGTTTGGCCAAGTATATTTTAAAGTGAGTCAAGTTTATGTTTTTTTCTTCACGAGGTCATAAGAAGTAAACACTTGAAAAATAATTGTTCGTTTTCGAAGCAAGCAACGACTGGCTCCATGACAGCGTATACCTTTCAGCATAGGGCTGAGCTCAGGTAAGCTTAAAACTGGGTAATGTATTTACGTGAATTTTTCAACTGTGAAAATTCAAGTAGAATTTAACGAGCGAACACAAATATTCATTGAGATATCAAGCTGAGAAAATGAAACTTCACGTGAATTGAAATATCTGCTGGAATTGAGCAATATTGCTTGCTATAAACAGACACTCTATTGCGTGTGCATGTGTGCATGAGTGTGTTGTAGCTCATCGCTCGAAACATTTTCATCTTAATAATCCACAAAATATAACAATTCCCGAAATGTAGTAATATGATATGTGCATTTTGTGAAGTCAACACATATTATCCGCATCAATGAGGCACAAGGTAATCCAATTTAAATTGACTACTCCGTCATTATCCATAAATTTAATAACAGAGAGATTCAATATTGCAAATTGAATCCGCTCGAGTATTTTGGTTATTTGTTAATAGATTGTTCATTATCATGATGCATGGCATTGTTTGCATACACGCTCACATGCACGGTACACGATTAGGCGCCCACTCTAAATTGATAAATAATCCCGTAAACACTACGCAACATATTCCAATTAGAAAATGCGACTATGAACACAAATGAATTTGACATTTTGAAACTTAACTTCCGTCAGCTCATCGTAGTTGAGTATTTGAATTTTTGCAAAGTAACAAAGAACCGCAAAAATCTTAGCTATTCCCATCATTACAACAGATTACAAATGATAATCGGTAGGGAAGTGTGTGTGCGTGTATGAATACATGTCTTAAGGTTTGCACATGTAAAAATTCCAGAAATCGTTGAGTGTGGGAATTTCTGACGCAAAATTCGTCTAAGCAGCGCATTATTTACAAACTAACTATTAGCAGAAATAATTTGTGAATGAGTACATCTGTGTTTCGGAAGATGTGGAATGTGACGTCTCGCATCGACCGATTTTCGGTGTTTTGGTTGATTTTTGCTCAGTTTCCATTGCAAAATTTATCTCCTTGTTGAACATTCATTGAAATAATCTGTTTAAGCGAAAACATTGGTTAAATCGCAACAATCTAACACAAACACAGGCCATGTTTTCTCAAGCTTTGAACAACGAACAATGCAGCTTCAAGCAAAGGAAAAACAGACATAAATAAACATCCCAAACATTGTATGCTGTATGTAACGAGAGATAGAAACGTGTGAAAAATACGATAAACATCGAAAGCGAGACAGAGACGCACTCGCACTCATACGGAGTGAAAGGTAGATTAAATTGGTATTGGTTTGTGCTCCATGGATGCAAACTCTTAAGTTCAGTTAGGCCTCTGCTTCCACCAACAGACAGATACATAGCTTTACAAAATGTGCACAAATCTATTGACGCTATTATTTGCCTGAATATTGGATGTATCGCATTGGTGGCAAGACCAAATATTTTCGATATACGATTCGATCCGAGAATTTGTGGTAGCTACTCCTTGCTTCCTCTCCCCGCTCTCTCTCTCTATCTCATTTTTGACATTGTAATTCAAAGGCGATTATCCTGGCATCGTGATCGAAAACCATGTATTTTGATGTGCAAAAACAATACTTGCGATAGAAACCCCACATCGAACATTGAGTCAATGTAAATTAAATTATATACCAATGTAGAATCAATGAGTTTATCGAATGTGCTGAATTTATGCTGATGCTTCAAGAGCCAACGATACATGATGATGCAGTTATAAATCCTATAATCCGAAACAATGGCAGTTTCTCTTTTTGTGTAGGTACATCAAATCATTGTTTATTGAAAATCCAAATATCACAGCACTCACTGATAATAACCGATGCGCTCAACTGAAATCGATATCATGATGCAATATTCAAAAACAAATAACTTCACATTATGTGAATACCTTGCAAAAAACAGGACACGAAAGGTATACTTTTCGTGCATGTATTTCCATCAAATACATTGTTGAAGCATTTTTTGTATCGAAGAGAAGATTGTGTGTGGTGAACCGCCTAGATTTTCGTATCATCTTTTGAACTGTATAGGTAAATACTCGGTTTGTGCTAGGTAAAGCAAAATACTATTTTATTTTTCGCCTTTTGATGTAGGTTTATTGCTTTCAATCACTATTGTGAACAACTCAGCGCTGAACTACAGGAACTGATTTTACTCTCTACTGTTGTGCCTTGATTCAAAATACTGCGTTTTTTCGTACATATAATCAAGCAAAATTTTCCTATATTTCAATTAAAAATGTTAAAAAGTAACTTAAGCCAAAAGAAAAAAAAAAAACAAATAAAAAATTCTTCAATAGTAAACATATGCTTTGGAGGAAATTTGCCGCAATAAAATTGATATGAAAATGTGGGAAAAACAACTCTTTGAAAATTCTGTTGGTTTTTTTGTCGTCAAAAATGTTCGGAAACTGTGTGTTACTTGGATCAAGCTTTTGAGAGTTGGAGAAAATGTGTATGTGTGTGTGTGTGTGTGTGTGTGTGTGTGTGTGTGTGTGTGTGTGTGTGTGTGTGTGTGTGTATTCCGCATGAGTGGGCTTACCGGAAAAAGGGTAATTAGCAAAGGCATGCTACTGCCTGGTTGTCTCAAAGGATTTGCAAGTCTCATTTACAAAAATAAACATTTTGTGTGCGACTTTGTCGTCTTTACTTTCCTTTAATTTCCACAGTTTTCCAGTTACACGTATGTACGCAAATTACAAACAATCCCTCATACCTACTCTGGTTCGCGGCGTCTTTTAATTTGCGATGCACGTTTTACTCCTTAGCATGTGAATCGGAGGCATAATGATGATGATGAAGAGTATTTCATCTTTCTGGTGATTTATTTTGCTTCTGATGTGAATTCGAGATGAGTCTCGCAATAATTTTCAAACGAAGAAAAAAACTCCATTAAATCAAGCTTAACAATTGCACATGCAATGCGATACGCTTGTCGTTGGGTGAAAACTCACAGCGAGCAGAAGAAAGTAGTCATCCCCATCAATAATCCAGCGTATGAAGAAAAAACGAATTTTTCATGTGAAATAGACAAATCGATCCATCAAACAAAGACAGAGAAATAGATTCCCTTCGTTTCGAATTCACCTTCACTGTTTGATGTGATTGCAAGAACTTTCACGAGGTAATTTCGAGTAATTCGTCTGATACTAACTTACTTATTGTGTTATATTGGCTCCGGTATGACGATACTATCGTTTGATGTGCCATTGCAACGCATACTTTACTTAATACGATTCGAAATTCCAAAGTGAAACACGCTGAGAAATGAAACGTCTTCTGGGAAAACACATCATCAACCGGCGGCGAGCGACAACAAAGAGAATTACATCACGAGATGAGTCGAAGTGTGTGTGTGCTGTACATGAGTGTGTATGTCGAAAAATACAGAGCGCCAAAATATTCTATGCACAAAGTAACACAATTGAACTGCAAGCATAATAACAGTCTCGTCGTTTCGACAATCGGGAGAAAAAGAAAAACCATCGCTATAAAATCTATTTTTCATTTTTCAATCAAAATGTCGGTCGAAGCGAGAGCTAAAGGAGATGGCTACAGTGGAAATGCGCGAGACGCGCTTCATTTAAAATACAATCTTTTTAAAAGCTTTTGAATGGAGAGGATTTCGTCAGAAAAGAAGAAGAAGAAACTGGGGGGAGGAGAGGAAAAGATGGGCGAGAGAAGAGAAATGAATGTATTCGATTGACATGAGCACTAAAATCGAATTTTTCACTTCATTTTTCTTTTTACCGTGTAGCCACCACGCCATACACATACATACACTACATGAGACCAGCCGAATGTGCCGGGGCAAATGCGAAAGATGAGAGGAGTGGATGGAATGTGAAAATGGTGGTAATATTTTCTATTTAGAAAATTTATCGTTTGTTTGGTGTGTCTGCATTTAGAGACGTCATATTTGTGCGTTATTTTTTTCATTCGTTTCTCCCGTCCAAATCATATAGACCAGCCACCTGGTCGAACTATGGCCTCGCATTGGAATAGCCCCGTTGTCGATTTACACACACTGAACACAAACACACCGCCGCTTTCTCTTCTTTTTTATTAGCTATTAGGGTGAAACCATTTGTCTTCGGATCAAGTTTTTTTTCTCGTTGCCATTCGAGTGGATGTGTCCAAAATCCAATGGAGAATGGAATCCAATTCTATGCATCAATTTTTCTTTCACCGAATAAAATGGAGAGAAAAAAAAATGTATATATACCAACCGAAAAATCGAGCCGATCCTTTTGTTATTTTGTTGGCAATGACATGTTGCGATATGAAATTCACAACTTATAACAAATGATCGAATGATATGGAACAGAGACGAAGGCGAGAGAGAGAGAGAGAGAGAGAGACAGACAGAGACAGGAAAAAATGCTCCAGCCATCGACCAGCCGTTCATACAGTGGAAAAAATAGAAGTAGTATCAAAAAACGAACGAGAAATGAAACGAGCAAATAATTTATGGTTTTTCTGAAATAACACCTAATTTGATCCTAACTATATCGAAAATGCTTGACCCAATTCTCCTCTCTCTCTCTCTCTCTCTCTCCCCCTCTTTCACTATCTTGGTGAACTGGAAGAATGGTTTAAAAAATGCGAGGTTGGTGAATGCAAGATCGCAAAAAGTGGCAAATGAAATTTTCCAGCGAAATTGAAGTGAGAAATAATAAATTGCAATCGGATGAACAACGTAATGGGCTCAAATATTTTTGCGAACAAGTTTTTCTTTTCTGAAAATTATCATCATCAACCCATCGTGTTGTGCGGTACGAGTATCGCTAAATTAAAGCGGGAAAGAAAACAATGCGCTGAATAGAGTCCAAGACTCATTAAATTTAATTACTTCAAGCGGTCAAACACACAAAAAGTGGCATTTTTACGTTCCCCACAAAATGGAATAGATCGTATGGACGCGGCCACAGAATGAAAGCCAATTTATCTAAAGGTAGTGGGAACACACTAAAACTCACAAAGCTCTCTCGAGAGAGAAGGAGAAAGCAAGACCAAGAACAAGAAATGGAAAAAACAACGCATCTGATGGCAAATATAGATTACCGGCAATACATAAGCTCATTTCCCAAACAGAAACATTTTCCGCCCTGGAACAGAACCGCTTTCAATGCACCGTCCAAACAATTTTCACTGAGAGCGCACACAGCGTGTGAATTAAAATAGAGAGAGAATTCTCGCCTGTGCTGACGAAACCCAGCCCAGTTATCTGGGCACAAGAGGAAAGTCTTTCGACGCTTCTTTTACACCATCATTCACCTACATTCCGCTTCGTTTGTGTGTTTGCATCCTTCTCGAAAGCGACTAAGACTCGCTCTTTCCTTCCGAAAAATGGATGTGTTTTATTAAAGTTTTATATTTTAATGTGAAGAAGTTAATTAGCTTTTTCGGCTGCCAAGAAAATTCGCTCCGTACTTATCTCGAACCAAGCGATGCGATGCTTCTTTCGATCTTTTTTTTCACTTCCATAAAATTGGATATATCTCTGTCTGTGTTTGTGTTGCACAAGCGAATAAATATTCCAAGAGGGAGTAAGGTGTGTTATTTGGGTATGGTCCAGCTTAAAGAGAATGACATAAAACTCCACACAAATATTTAAAAGGGTCCAAAAGCTGTAGAATGTGTACTTTTCTGAGTAATGCACACGAACCCAAAAATAAATCTCACACATATAGTTTTGAATGACTTATATGCATCCACATTTTCAACGGCCCAATTTTCAATCCGCATTTAAAGAAAAAAAATCATAACTTTTCCATGATTCATGAATCACATATTCGTGGCAACACAGTAGCACGTGTGATATTCCAACAGCAATGGTTCCTCTTTTAAATCGGATTTTCGATTGAAATTTGCGCATGAGGAACTTTTCACTAATTCAATTCATTCGAATTAGCTGTGAAACGAAATGTGGTGTGTATGTGTGCGTGGGTTGATTGTAAATGTGAGAAAGCGAGAAGGAGCGTTTCAATCGTTTTTCGCACATCGTTAACATATCTCTCGCATCCACTACTACAGCCACAAATGAGCACCCGACCACAGAAATGCGTCAAATTACCTGTACGTTTACACGACGTCTGCAAAATGGGTTTCCATTTAAAAGAGTGTGAAATTTAGCCGGTAGCAACGGGTTCTGATAAATTTTTAATTGAATTCACTGAAATTTATTTGCGACAACGCATATCTCTCTCTGCTTTTTTCCAATTTTCCAAACATAAAAGTGGTATACACTGTATACGGTGGTGAGCAAGTTTTAAATGGAGATGCAAAAGAGGAAATAAATTCATCTGAAATATTATTGTATAATTACGGGATAAGTGTTGTTTAGCTTGGTCGTCGTGAATAATGCCATCATTCAAGAAGTGAGTGTTCTTGACTACATCAATCGAAACCGCTGTAGCCAAGAAGCCGATTTTTCGCGAATATCAAAGTAAGGACAAAGGGTTTAGAGTAGAGGAAAGAGATCAGTATGGAATGTTTCGCATTTTGAACTTGTACATAAATCAAATTCACACTGACCTTGGCAACCATTCAACGTGCAGTTCAAATATGAAAAATGGTATATTTAATGGAACACATTTAACAAGGAGGTACGGTTATAAACGAGTCGTATATAAGATTGTATTTGCATTCCTTCGAATGAGTGACTTTTTTATTGCATCAAAAATTTTCCCTCCATACCCGTGTGAAAAAGAAATGACTGACTGACTATAACTTCAGTTGACTTTAGTTGATTGAATTTATATTTTTGTTCTAAGAAAATCACTTGGTCCCAAATGAAGCAACTTAGATTGACTTGTAACTTCAAATGATTTCAGTTAACTATGATAGACTTACACTACACTTTGTACTGAAATGTCAATCAAAGTAAGTCATTTTTGTCCCAAATTAGTTAACTGACTGCTCAGTTACTATTTTTTCACACGGGTATCTATCGAATATCGTTGCGTTGAAAGTTTTTTATATTATGCATAAAAAAAATCGTTGCTACCCCAACGAACAATTGTTAACGCAAATACATCCATTACCAAGCGTATGTAAACGGTTGAATTTGGGCCCGCATTTGGGTGTAGTTTCAGTCATTTTTAACGTCACAATGGAAGTAGAAAAAGAACAGTAAAAACAAATCAATTAGAATGATATAAAAACGATTATGAATCAATATTCAATATTTTAATAAATAGTGATACTCACCTACAGGAATTATCCTGTACTCTACCTACATCTATATAGACTATAGAATATAGATAGCCATCGATATCTGGTATCGATGATGTCTGGGAGACTAAGACCTCAACCAACTACAAATAACATACTGTTACATAAATTCTTTTGAAAAATAAAACATAAATTGCGGCTCTATTGATATTAATGAATGTTGAAGTTGACTCGGAATCGAGTTGGATACACGAGGTGTTGACGTGTGAACGCATCATGCAGCCGATGTCCAAAGAGTTCGCAATGCCCTGAAACAAAGAGAAAAAAAACACACACACATTACTATTGCATCAATTTCAATTCAATGAATAACATACCTCTGTACAAGATCAATTTTGCAGCCGAAATGTCACGTTGCCAAACTGTCTTCAGTACTGGAGAGTCGTCAACGGGGTCTTCGGGCACAAATTCATCTGTGTACTCGATGATACCGAGTTCAGCGTCGTGAATGATTACACCTCTGCGCTCTTCAACATTGTCATCCATACCGTTTGCCGCGTTTTGTTGCCAGTTTTTACGGTAGCAAATCACCTTAGACACAAAACCACGGGGTTGATTTGGATTCTGCACTGCTGCTTGTCGCATCGCTCGTCGCTCTGATCGCAACTTCCGCTTGCTCTTTGCCGCTACAATTTTCTCTGGTAGCTTCATTTTCGGCCAATCATCTTGATCGGGCATACACCATTCACACACCTTGACACGGTCGTTCAATGTACTCAATGGAAACGGTTCGAAACATCTGGCACACAATCGTGATGATCTGGCTTCGTTCACAAATCGTATGACATTGCCTTCCATTTTCTTGAAACTCTTCACCAATTTCCGCACGCCCGGGCATCGAACGTGTTTCTTGATCTGTATTGGTGAATTTGCAGGTGGTTGGGAAGCTCCAATGTTAATGATGCATCGTTTGCGATTTGTCTGTTGAGCAACAACAAAAACATTCAATTTTTTCCAAAGAAACAAAAATTCAATCGTAAATTCTTACCAGCATTGCGGCCACCTTGTCACTGACCCGATTGGACTCGATGTAATGATCAAAACTTAAACGTGTGTACTTTTCGGTTGTGTACACTGCAATGGCTTTCTTCATGATGGTGAATCGATGCCGTATGTAGTCACGCCAATTGCTTCCTTTTGGTGATGGCATTCGGTCATATCGCGCTCGGTTATTTCGATCACTCTCTTCGAACTGCCCAAAGGCACGAGTCCATCGCTCTCCCTTTTCCTTACGCACTCCTTCTCCGGTGCAATAATGATACTTCTTGCTGTTGATTGTGAAATTCATCTGTGAGATGGAAACAAAAATCGAACAATAAAAATTAAACAATGAAATGGACTCACATGACACAATCACAATAGAATGCATTCAATCGCTAACATACCTCTTTGCCATTATGAATTCGCTCTTTGTCATTATTAATTCGTCGCCTAACGGTTGCATTCCACGTCTTCATGCCCCAATCAATGCCCAATTCATAGACATAGAAGCCATCAGAGTACCGTTTACGCACCAAACCATCTTCCACTAACTTGTCGACTACGGTTTTCTTCACTGAGTACAGAATCGATGCCGATACACCATCGCTGAGAATATGTTCGAATTTTTTGTTTGCTTTCAACACTCGATTGATTTTCTCCATGTTAAAAATCATATTGAAATAATACGCTTGATTTGATTTTGACGTGACGTGGCCCACTGTATGTTGCCGACCATATTCATCACGCGGAATGGTACCGGTTTCGCACATCATACGATACAAAACATCAGCGTCTATTCTCACTGCCTTTCGCGTGTGATGACAGATTGGGATGACCACCAAATTCTTGATGTTTGGCAACGCAATGACTTGCACGATGTTGTCGTGGTGTTGTTCAACCCAGTTGAGGTGCGTTTCGATTTCCGATTGCATGATCAACCACATTGGCAATGATGAAAACCATGTATCTTCGTCTTTGGTGAATTTGGCGATATCATCGTCAGCTGGTCCACGAATGTCTCGAACGTAACGCAACAATCGATCTCGTTTGGCCAAGCGATTAGCATCACCTCTTGTTGCGTCATATCGTTTGATTGCCCATGACACTGCATTTGCCACATCTCGTTCATCGTATGTGTCCGGTAGGCCACGAATCCGGTTAGTGTAGTTCTGTCTGAATGCCTTCAATCTCAAGAAATACCGCAATCGTTTCTGTGCATGTGTATCCAAATTCGTCTTAACATTACGGCTATATTGTTGGAACAAATATTTCATCAAGTTGCCGAAGTAATCATTGTTTGGCCATGCGGAGCGATTCTCGATGTCCACATTCTCAAAGCAATGCCGGAACCATGGATCCATAATGAAATCGTCTTCCTTGTAGCGCCGCAACACAGCATAGAAGCAATTTTCGATGATGTGCATTCCATCGCCATCGTCGAAATATTCCCAATTGCCGGTGATGATGGCCTGTTCAGTGGCAGCTCTGACTTTGTTGAGGAATAGAAGCGATGCCAATTCAGATATTTCGGTGCATTTTATGCTGGTTTTTGTGATCCATGGCAGAATACGATCACGATATTCCGGTCGAACAATACTAGTGGCGGCCAACTTGATTGCAAAGTATGCTTTCTCCTCCTTTTGCTTGCCATCTTCAACTTTCCGCGGTTTCGACCTATTGCCACGAATGGCATGTGCCCCAATCCTTTTTCTGCCCATTATTGAACCCTGAAAAAATAGAATGAAAACACAAAAATTACTTTAGAACGCACTAGAAATGATTTTTTGTTGCTTCTAAATTACTTAATTTGAACGAAAAACGAAAAAAAAACAATCACTGTAAATCGAACAGTATTCACAACAAATGACTTGCCTTTCCAAATGTTCAGATCAATGTGAATGTGCAACCGGCATCAGTTTGACACATCAAGCTGAATTTGGTTGTGACACGAACACCGCACACCGTGATAAAATATCGAAACGCTCACGATATTTCGACAGCAGATTTCTTCCACAGGCTACGGATCAAAACTGTAAACAAACAAAAAAACACACAACAATCGATGGTTTGTTGATTTCGAAAATCACATGCACACGGTGGTATTGTTTGGTTCGATCACTCGTTCGATGTCACAACGATAACAATTCAAATGACTTACCCTTTTTCCCTTTTGCTGGCTGTTCAATATGAATTTAGTCGAACGAAGCAAAGATTCATATTTCATGACATGGTGAAATTGTGAACGGCGGTTTGTTTACAATAACAAACTTCAAAATGAACCAACACTAATAGCGGGAATATTCACTACATTAGTTTTGCCTGCCATCTCTGGACAATTTAAAACGTAATCGTTGAAAATCAGAAGAAATGAATTTGAAAATATACTCTCACCATTTAGTTCATTCTCTTTGGATCAATACATGAACAAAAACATGAACAATTTAAATCATAGAATTTTATGCTATTTTTGTGAACACTATTAATTGATACATAATTCTTTTCTCTTTAATTTAAAATCTAACATTTTCTCGTTCCCAATATTCATACAGTTGGTTTACACTGAAATTTCAGTCGATTTTGACGGAAAAAATGTCTAAAAACGTTACATCTTTTAACGTTAAAAATGACTAAATTGCGTTACATGAATGTTTCTTGCTACATTTTTTTTCCTCGAAAAATTCAAAAGATCTGAAGTGGGCATCTAAAAGCATGTTTTCCGTCAACACAAATGGAAATGAAGCGAACTAAAGTATACAATAACTTTAAAAGCAATCAAAAAATATATTAAATTTATTTGTAAATAGAAATTGTGTTCGTTCTTCATTTCAATGTTGATTGTGATGGTAAATCGTGCAACATTTTGCTTGAAGATGAGAGAGAAAAAAAAAAAGAAAATTTCGTAAGAAGGTAAACGATATACGATGGTATACACAATATTATTCATATAATTTTTTTTATTATTTTCTTATGCGGCGCTGAACGAAACTGTTGAAGCGTAAAGAAAATATTCCGTCGTCGTGAGTGCGTGTGTTAAATTCAGCAGAAGAGACAACCAATTTTGTTGACGTTGGGTAGGGCGAGAGCGCGTCTTTTGTATCGCCATTCTAGCAACAAAATTCCATATATGTCAAATGACTGGAGAGTTTGCTGCTATGATTTGATGTGATTTTCTTTTCTTTACTTCTCTCTCTCTCTCTCTCTCTCTCCCATCCGGTCCATGTTTTTATTCTGCGGATAATAGTCGCACGAAAGCATTGTGCATAAATAATATGTTGTGTGCTTGTGTTCAAAAGCAGCCTTTTTTTACACATATATTCGCATTCCCGCTCTCTATCTCTCGCCTAGATCCACGCCAAATCACTAGTAGCTAGTAGTCGATTCTTTTTTCGTCGGTATTTATTGCATTTTGTTAGAGTGCTTGAAGTGGCGAAAAGATGAAATAATAACTACACAGTCAAAAATAAATGTACACATTTAGGCGGAATTTCGACTGGTAGAAGCGCCCACTCCTACATTTTGCCTAGCAAATGGAGTTTCAGACGAAATACCGACTAGATTATAAGCGGAACTTCGCCTGTAGCTCAAATTACTAGCAGAAATATCGGCTTATTGGGACTTTAGCTGAAAAAACGCCCAGATGTAGACTTTAATTTTTTGCTGTGTAGAAGTAGCTGGAAGAGGCGAGGTGAGAGAGAGAGCGAAAAAAAAGGAAAAAAAACATAACATTTGCACAAGAAGCGTGCACATTATGCTAGATGCTATCGTTTATTTTATCTCCTCTTTCATCCATATTTCATATCCTCAACACATTCACTTTCTCCCCGGATTTTTCAAACGCTCACACACACAATGCCAGATAAGATCACATTCAAAATAAGCTGCTACCGCTAAAATACGTTGAATGATACGATATGTTTGCTGAAACGTAATATTTTATACATTCAATTTCGCCCTTTCCCGTATATTTTGTCCTTTCTCACTCGCATCTCGTCCGCTTTCTCATTCACTCACTCATTCTCCTGCTCTATCGCTCGTTCATTCGCTTCCAATTGAATATATATCATTTACAGTATTAGCTCTCTTTCATTCGCTTCGCTCACTCACTTATTCACAACGAACTGAATTCATTTCTCTCGTGTTGGCTTCTCTTTTCCTCGACTTTTTTCTCCTTCTCTCGTTCACATTTTCGCTTATGTGCACGCTTTATATGTGTGTTTGTGTGTACACGATAGCTACCTGCTCACGGCTTTGGCAGCCAGCGCAAAAAAGGAAAGTTGTTTAAATTTTAACGTGGAATTATCACATAAGCATCACCGTGGAATGAGAAAATCATCGCATCCCAGCTAAAATATAACGAATAAATTACGCAAAGCACACCGTTACTCCGCGATCGTTTGCGGTGTCGCGTTTCGATGGATTGGTAAATATTCATATATGAAGACGTGTTTTTATCTTTTGGTTTCACTGTCACTCTCTGGAAAACTCACCACACACACACACACACCTATTGTCTATCCGAGCATTTTCGGCTATTTACGTCATCTGCATCCAGTCGAATCCGGTTGCCACAACTAAATATTGTTATTGTGAACATAGACGTGCAGGCGCGCGTGTGTGTGCTTACGTTTTGCGAAAAATATGCAGGATTTCAAGAGTGAAATAATTCTCACTTTGCGTTCTTCATAATCCCCGAATATTAAGAGCTTAAGTTTTTGGAATGAATTGATAAATGCTTCCTTCTCATTTGGGTGCTTCTCTCTAGTCTCAAGATCAAACACAAACACCAAATTTAACGGCGAAACGGTTTCATTGCCAAGAACGTGCGACGAAGACGACCATTCTGCATAATTTTCGGTACGAGGCTGTCACGAATTTCATTAGTATATATTTTCTTTCAATTTTTTTTTGTTCTTTATTGAGCGTGTTCATTTTTTCGCGACAACCAGCCGAAAAAAAGTGATGTATTTAAGAGGGTCGCATATCGCAATTCAATTTGGCGAGTGGCATAATTTTCCATGTCATTAAATTTTAAGAGCGCATCAAAAATCAAAGAATAAACTTCGCAGCCGGGCAAATGAAGAACGCGCCGCGCGTTCGCGTTAATATTGCACGGGTCTAGGTCAGTAAATTTTTGTCGGATTTTTTGTTGGGTTCATTTTCATTTCAAAATATACCAGCTCGTCGCTGTTGTTTTCGTTGTTTTTCCTCATCCTCCATGAATGATCAGCTCATTTTCGGGTGTTTTTCTTGTTCCGGTTCAGGTTTCAGTTTATCTTTATCATTATTAATTCAAGAACAAAGAAAACGAGCCCAATAGAATATTTATTCAATACTTTTAGATGCCGAACCCCACGCATTTTGTTTTTTTTCTTTGTTTTTTCGACCGCTACACAGCAGCAGCAGCATGCTCAATGTGGCGAAACTGATATTATTATTGATTGGACCGAGAGAAAGATGGAGTGAATAAGAGAGAACGCGTAACGAAATCAGCGAAAAAAAACCGTCTGCCACAGGACTATAAACATGTCTATTTTGCGAATCGAATTGAAGCGGAAAGAAGGAATAAAAACTGAATCTCAGTTTCGCTTTCACTGTGGCATCATACGGTTCGCTGTCAATCGAATCACAAATCTGCAGCAGGGAGTGAGAGAGCGGGAGATAGCCAAGGAAACATTAGTGAATCAAATTATAATCTGATAGTAAAATTTTTTCCCTCGGTTTATTTGTTGCTTCTTCACTATCTAGTTTGTGTGTTTCCAATTGACAAACATCAAACCCCAGTCTGTGTCTCTATCATGCGTCGATTCGAATGGCATTTCACTTGCCACTTTGATCAATAATTTATATGCTAAAAATCGCTTCAAGTTTCCACAAGTCGTTGAAATTCAAATGCGAATCGATTCACGAGAAACAAAAGAGTGCACAAAGCGGAGGGAAAAATTATGGCATTTATATGTTCACGGATGAATGTTCAAACGCGCAATAATTACATCGTCTTTTGCAATAGTTTGCTTCATGACTTTGAAACCGTTGTGTGAAATGGAAAATGGCAAAGAACGACGGCGACACACGCATCGAATTAGTCATCGAGTTTGTTTGCTGTAAAGCGCATAAAACACCGGAAACTTGACAAAATATACAAACAAAAGAGAAACAACTACGAAAAAGTCACACAGAGAGATAGAGCGGGAGAGCATGGGTTTGACGTCGTTTCGAGCACTCGATCATTGTTAAAGTGTTTACAAATTATCATAATTATTATCATCAACTTTCGATAAGCTCTTGAAAGGGAGCGATACACACGAAGCAAATATTTATTTTATGTCTGTTGAGTTCTGCGATAAATGGCTTCCAAGAAGTTCCCTTCTTCTCGCGCTCCCACTTTTTCTCTTAGAATTAAATCGATGTGATTTTCTCATCGATTGAATAAATTGCAATTTATGCTCTTGAAAGTCTGGATTTTTACTCAATTTCAAATATTAAATTCTCATTTTGCTAAATCCACCTTGAACCAGCGTTTATTAATCAGTATTAAAGCAATCAATCGATGGTATCAAGTTCGGGTAGGATTTTATTTGAAACTATAATTACGGTATTACATATAGGTAATGGTACACCTAATTGAACTCGCATTTTCTCTTTGTGGCCACACGATAAATTTTCTTTCCGGAGATTTGCATAATTAATTCCATTCGAACGGATTAGCTTTTAATTAGACGATTGTTCCTCGATAATTTTCGATTTATTGCTCTTGAAGTCGTTTTATCGAGAGCTAATTGAATGTTCGAACTATCTCGTTGATCTGTCGATAACGATGCGCTAAGCCAATCAGCAATTTTTCTACTAAAAAATACAGCCACTTAATGAAGATGGCTTTGTTATTGGTGCGATTTTTTTCCTCGGTGCATTCTCTTAATTTCGTTGATTTTTTTTCCTCTTGCGTCGATTCTAGTTGTTCGAATATTTCAGGCCGGAGAACAGAATGAACGAGTTAAAGTGGCAGCTCTTAAGCCACTCAAACCTCCCTTTCTTTCTCTCTCTCTCTCCCGATCTGTCTCTTCCTCTAGACGATAATAGCACATTGCCGGCTGGTAAACTTTTCGCTTTCGTCGAATCCGAGACAAACCAAATTGCCACAAACCCTATAGCACATCGATGCAAACAAAAAGAGGACAGTTTGCCAAGAGCAGCAAATGCTTTTCGATGCAAAGCAAGATGAAGAAGAATAAAAAAAGAGAGTACGAGCACTAAAGAAAGCAGTGTGTTGCACTCTTGATTTATCCCTTTGACTCATCGTTTGCATTTCTGTTCCGCCTTTTCATCGCAGCGTTGAAGCCGTTTATCTCCATCCAACGGTTTACATACACGATTCAAGCTCATATGAGTTTTGTGTACGAAATGTTAGCCACTTATTCAATTATTTAATCGTTTTTCATGTGTATATTCTAGTTTGGAGTCGATTCAGCAAACGTCGACTTGTTCACAGCTAAATGAATAATAAATACCCGATAACATTCAATCGGCTACGCTTTTGCTGGCTTGTCTGTTTGTTTGGCAAGTTGATTTTCGTTTAT